TATCATTAATATGATATTTATTAGATTTTAAGGTTTAGGATTAGTAGTGAGCACTCTATGACTGGCACGGGAAGATTCCTGGACTGAAGAAAGATATTTAGCTTTAGCATAGTTGTCAAGTGTTCCTCTTTCTGCAGGACAGTACTCATTTTGAACTTTGCCCAATCCCCCCATTTCTCACAGTGTCTTATAAGGTGCACACAAGCTGCGGCTGCAGGGCAACACAAGTTGACACAAGCAAGTGTCCTCACAGCCAGCTTTTCTGGGAATCTTGGTGACTTTGCTACAGGCCAGACTAATTTTGGTTTTCAGATTAGCAAATCTATGTTCTTTTATTTGATTTGGTGACGTGATCAGTTGATCAAATGTTCCCCCAGATCTTCAGCACAGGTCCAAGGATGAGCTGCAAGGTTATGTAAGCAGAAAAACATATGGTGGCTTCTGTCTGCTTAGAATTGTTTCTGTGCTTTGAACACAAGGCATGCATTGAGAGCAGCTTTGGGTTGTTCTGGCATGTTTATTCCCCAGATACCACACCTCTTCTTAAACATAGTACTTCTCACACACCCTGTAAGTACAGCGCACATATGGCACTTATTTTTATCTGATAGCCACGTGTTGTAGCTGTGAACACCACATACAGTAAACTGCCCGTGAACATTTTTATATTCCTATTATGCTATAAATGACTGTACAGTACAAACTGTTTAGTAAAGAAACTTGTCCTGAGGCAAATGCAGTCAGACATTGTTGACCTCCTTTTAAAATTGCTAGTTGCCTGATTGTTATAATCTATTATGCTTTATTTGTTGTGTCTTTAATATCTGGATACCAGCTCAATGACTCAAAGTACTGCAGCAAGATGGTCAGAATCATGGCGAGGCAACTACCATTTCTGATATGTTTATTTATGTTTTGCTGTAACTAAGGAGATACTTATGTCAAGCAGTGGTGTATGTTATGGTCATGTGCAGTGCTCTCCTCACCCTACAACTCCCTCATTTTGCCCTCACAGTCCAATGCACAAGCATGGCCATTAGCACTCATTCCACTGACAGAGATGCATAAAGAATAGAATGGAGCAATGCAGCAACGTGATCCCTTTCCTGGCCCAAACTTCTCTAAACTAGACCGTTGCTGGATGTCTCTGCATAAATAAATGTAGTCGATATCAGTGACACACCAAAGAGAGTGGCTGCATCCCAAATACAGTGCGACCATATAAAGCCAGCATGGCCACCCTTATAATTTAAGTGTATTCTGCATTATTTTGCAGAATGAACTAGTTGACATTGCTAAACGAATAAATTGAAGCCAAAGCGCTGTGAACGGATCCTGATGCTGAGTGGTGTGTGTGCAGGATTGCTAGGGGTGCTGCCCCACTTCAGCCAGGGGAACTGTAAAACTGGAAAACAAAAGAAAAAGAAGGGCACCCACCCTAGTGCAGATGATTTCTTATTTTCAAAAGACACAAAATTAGAGTGCAAGATTACTCACAATGGTAGGTCAGACAAAAGCATGTATAGGTGGTTTCGAGGATACATCAGTTTCAGGACTGCAATCAGCCTGTGTGCCACTGGAATGTGGTGTTGTTGACGCGTTTCCGGGGTCACGCCCCCTTCTTCAGAACGTCAAGAAGGGGGCGAGACACCGGAAACGCAGACAGACTTTGTCTGTCTGCTTGATTGTCAGCTAGTGAGAGCCTATGTAACTCACAGGTCACAGGGCCCTAGTCCTAGTTAAACTTTACTTGGCTTTACCTTTTTCATTCAGAAATGAAGGTGCCCATGGGTCCAGGAACAGTTGTACCCTCTACACCCCATCTAGTCACTCCCTAGTTCCAAGCTATCTAGAACCCTTTGTGGTGTTGACCTGTTTGTAGCAGACACTCCATACTGTGTGCACAGAACATGACTGAGATGGATGATAAAAGGTGTTTTTTGGTAGAGTGTTTAGACCTGCCGAATGCATTTACACAGGGAGATCCATGCTTTTTCAAGCACTAACCTCCCATGTTTACTATATAAGTAATATTAGGCACGATGACAGCAATGACATAATATTCTAAGGTATTACCTCCTCCACATACCAGTCACTGTTCTTCTGTGGCTGTCCCCTTTATATAGTGTACCTAATAAGTATACTGGTGATAAGCATACTGCAAGACAACAGTAGAGTGGTAATACACTGAAGCGGTATTTGCTGATAAGACACGACAGTCTAGCTCAGTGGCCCCGTCATGCCCTATGGAGTTGCTCTTTTTCTGCTCTTTTGTGTATATATTTTTGCCTAAAGCTGGCCATGCACTTTACATTTTTGGATTGATATCCCCATCCACTCTATGCGAGTCTTTTCTGTGATTTTTCTCCCAAAAGTTTTATTTCTGTAATGACAGCAGTGGGGGCAGCCACATACGCAGACATTGCATTTTAGTGCCAGGTCAACTTTACCAATGGCAGACACATTGACAATTCTTATGATATTAAATATGTATCAAATTTAATTATCGTAATTCATTTTGCAGGTATTTTAACTCAAAATAGAAACACATCTTTGAACTGGTCAGAGCACGTTTCACATCGGTTCTCCTGCACGGGAAACTATTTGTGAAAATAAATGTCTTCATTCTTTGCACATGACTTTGTATATGTAATTTGTTTTGCGATATTATGACTTTACACTGGCCTTTACACTGGCCACTGGCCACTGACATTGTTTAGACTTGTCTACAAGTTTTCAATCTCTATTCCCCCCCCTAGGTGGTGTCGCATAAAATCTGGAGGGCAGCGAAGGTTTTACAAATTTACCTGCTTAGCATATCACCAACTCTGATGCGTGACAGAAAGCACCACTTTCGCAATCACAGGTACAGTTCTTACCACCTTATTTTGGATCAGAACACTGAGAAAGTGTTTTTTAAACTTACCTTGGCTCATTTAATATTTACAGACAAAGCAAAGAAGTTTGTGCATAAAACTTATAATTCATTCTTATTGCTCCTGCTGTACCTGGAGATCTGTAATGGAAGCTTTAACGGATGTATCAATTCACATTCTCTGGTTATGGTTCATAAAGATTTCCCTGTTAATATAGACTCAAATATTGTGCATTTTAACATACCTCTTTTAACATAACATTAATCTGAAAAAAAATGGGTGTACTTATAAAACATTAATGTGAACATCTCAGTTTTGCATTCACACTGAAATATGGCCACTAGATGGAGCTGAGGAGCATATTTCCTATGCTTCCTGGCTCCATTTAGTGCTGTAATGACGTGCAAATCTAAGGGGTCAATTCACGAAGCGGCTGAAGGATCTGGCCGTAGCTTTGGCCGATCCTTCGGCTAGCTTTGGCCCCAGGACCCCTCCGGTTCAGTAGAATCGAAGGGGTGCTGTACGGGCTATTCACTATAGCCCGTACAGCTCCCGAACGTGGCTAAGCAGGGCACTGATCTCCAAACAGCAAACTCTCCCTGGCGCTCCGGGAGTCCCCCGCTCCCGGCCGCCAAGGAGAGAAACACTGCTGTTTCTTTTTTTTT